TTGTGGCAGGTGCCTGTAGTCCCAGCTACTTGGGAAGCTGAGGCAAGAGAATCACTTGAGCCCAAGAGTTTGAAGTTGCTGTGAGCTGTGATGTCACAGCATTCTACCAAGGGCAACACAGTGAAACTCTGTCTTTAAAAAAAAAAAAATTACATAAAGGTTAAAAAGAAATATTTGCAATGTATTTAAGAAATATTCAAAATAAAAATATCAATGTTTTTAATTTATTGAATTCAATTAAGTATTATTTGTGCCTTTTGAAATTATTTAACTAAGGCCCTTAAATCCTTTAATATTCAAGTCAATAAGTATTATTTCTAAAAGTAAAAAGACTATCAATAACAATAAAAAGTAAATGACTAAAATATTTTTACTTTTAACAAAAGATTGACGTGCAATAAATGAAGCACCTGATTAAATCAGTAAGGAGCACATTAAAAGAAAAACGGAAAATGATGATTAACAGGCAAATTACAAAGGAATGTTACATGGAAAGAAAAAAATGAACCTTACCAGTAATCTAAGAAAGTTTGAAAAATAATACTTTTTAAATTAGCAAAATATAATAAAGAAAGAAAATTCCAAAGGTTGGCCAGAGTAGGAAGAAAATATTTTCATCTGTATTTGAGGGTTGTAGAATCAGGTATGTCTTTTTGAAAGACCATTTATCAGCCTTAAAAATATACCCCCTTAGGGGCAGCGTCTGTGGCTCAAAGGAGTAGGGCACCAGCCCCATATACTGGAGGTGGGGGGTTCAAACCCAGCCCCAGCCAAAAATTGCAAAAAAAAAATAATAACAAATATATATATATATATATATATATCTTAATCCAGCAAAGTTATTCTACAGAAACAGAGAAGCATAAAAAGGTACATGCATAGAAGTATTCATAATATCACCTAGTTGTGACTGAGAACATTATATCATCTAGTTTAATAAAAGAAACCTGCAAATACTATAAATACATAACAAAATAGATTTGGTTAACTAAATTATGGTATGGCCACATGATGAAATACAATGCAGAAATAAAAATCAATGTATAGACATTAATTGTACATGACAATAGTCACAACATTTGTGACTCAAGTGCCCATCAACTTATGAATAGATTAATAAACTGTAGTATATGTATACCATGGAATTACTATTCAGCCATAAAAAGATGAAGACTTTATATCTTTTGTACTAACCTGAATAAGCTGAAGAACATTCATCTAATAAAGTATCACAAGAATGGAAAATCAAGTATCCAATGTATTCACACTAGTATGAAACCAATACATGAACTACTACACCCCCACATGAGAGGAAAAACACAATTAAATTCAAGTGGGGGGGAGAAAAGGGGAGCAAGGAGGAGGGATAAGGATTGGTCAACTCTCAATGGGCACAAAGGATATACAGCATAACCCCTGGATGAAGGGCTCAACTACAACTTGAACTATACCTAAAAAATGCAAACAATATAATCTAAACATTTGAACCCTCATATTAATTTGAAATTTAAAAAATGAAATACTAAAAAAAATTAATTCAATTCAAAATAAAAAAATACAATAAAAAATGAATCGAGTATCCCAGAATGTGAAGAGAAGCCCAAAGGGAGAGAGTGCTTGTTTAATGAAATAATAGCTAAAAAACTTTCCAAATCTAGAAAGAGATTTATTTTTTTTTTGAGACAGAGCCTCAAGCTGTCCCCCTGGGTAGAGTGCTGTGGCATCACAGCTCACAGCAACCTCCAACTCCTAGGCTCAAGCGAGTCCCCTGCCTCAGCCTCCCAAGTAGCTGGGAACACAGGCGCCCACCACAATGCCTGGCTATTTTTTCGTTGCAGTTTGGCTGGGGCCAGGTTTGAACCTGCCGCCCTCAGAATATGGGGCTGGCGCCCCACTCACTGAGCCACAGGCGCCACCCTCAATGGAGTAAATCTTAAGTATGTTTACATTCTATCCCACTAATAAGTTTATATTAAAAAGGCTTCTTTGCCTACTTGCCCTAACAATGGAGGCCCATTCGTTGTCTATGGAAAGTGTATCCTGCTTTGTAAACCTTCTTACTCTGTAAACCTATCATTCTCTTCCTCAATAAACTTAGTTTCATGCTTGCCTTAAAAAAAAAAGTTTATATTAAACATAGGCCAATGACTGAGTTCTGCGCCTGAAACCCCACTTAAGTCTCAGCAGTTATTCTATCATAAAAGATCAAGTTAGGCATATCTAAGCCCCTGGAAGTCACCAAGGAGCATCAACATTTTGATCACTTTTCTTAAAAGAAAATACCTGGATAGTCACAATATTCAACTTAGGAAATAGTGCTATAACTGATAAACACTACCATAACTATAATAACATACTAATCTACAATGGCATCTATACAGTCAAAAATTTTCATTGACATGTAGCTTTTATTTAAGACTATCAAAGTATCAATTTAAGAATAGGAACTAAATCATAATAATGTTTATAACAGTTGTTATGCCAAATCTTTAAAAAAATATATCTTTGGGATATGCACAATGGAACATCACATGTAATTTTTAATTGAATGTAACTATAAAGGTTAGTTATTGTGCCCCTATCCAGCAATGTTGACAGCAACAGGCTTCAGTGGTTCAAATGTGACTTTTAGCTTTGCCCACGTTCTTCAGTACAGGGGTGGCCCTCAAGAATTCTGATCATGAGATTTCTTTACCTCCAAGTCTTGAGTCTGGATAGTACTTCTTCTGGTCTGCCTGCCACTTGAGTTGGACATAAAGTCCTAATATCACCAATATAACCACAATGCCACCAGCAGCAATTATATCTAACTTCAATGAAATAAAAACACATGTAGTTAATTATTACCGTACCATTAGTTCCTGGTGGTTGTAATATATCTCCTGTCAGGCGGCACCACCCAACTGGGAAAATATCTCGAGAATAATATTTGCACCAATAATCAAAAGCTCCACTCCAGCCATCAAATGTAATATGAACTTCATCTCCTCTAACATTTCCAATAGTTGCAGGGCAGATCAGATAAGGATTCTTTTTGTCTACAGCTTCCAGTTTCATCCCCACTTTAAAATTGTTTAGGGGTGGCCTTGGTGGTTCCTACCAAAACATTAAAAAAAATTCATTGTTAAGACATATTAAGAACCATTTGCTCAAATGTATTCTCTTACAATCCTTAGCAATAAAAAATTAAGCTCTATGTTTAATTATCAATTAATATAAGAAGAAAACAGTTCTTGCAAATCTGAAACTCTGCTTTCCAACATCTTGGAGCAGATCTAAGAACCTGGAAAGAAATAAAACCAGTGTGATAGTCTGATTCATTCATTCATTAATTCAAGAAACATGTATTATATGCCAGGACCAGGAATGTAAGATTCAATAGTGAAGAAAAATACCAAAGATCCCTGTTTTGGTAGAGCTTACATTCTAGTGGTGATGGTAATGGTTAGGGGAAGAGCAATGAACAAAAAATTTTAGAAGAGACATTGAGACAAACCTAATAAATATAGAGTATGTTAAAAGGCAAGAAATCCAAAGAAAATGAAGAACAAAAGATAATATCCCGAATTATTTTAAATTGTTTATTTATTCCTTACGTATAAAAAGTTAAGACATGTAAATGCTAACAAGATTCTTACAGAGTCTAAGTGCTACTACTTTTAAAGACAATCAACATCTTTTCTTTCAATCTGATTTTCATCCTTGTAAATGGCACCAGCACAGCAATCCCGCCACCCACACCAAAAGCCTAGAAATACATAGTCATGAATCAGTGGCTCGAAATCTTATTGAACATTAGAATCACCACCAGTAATACTGACTGAATTAGTCTAGGGTGGGCCTGGATATCAGCACATTTTAATTCCCCCAGGCGACATTTCTCAAAAAGCAACATACAAATCACAAATAGGCATATGAAAAAAAAAATGCTCAAATATCATTAATCACTCTAATGATATGCCTTTCTAAGGGAAAGGTAAACCAAAACCACAATGAGATATTGTCTTATCCTAGTTAGAATGGCTACTCTCAAACAGAAAAATAACAACAAATTCAGGCCAGGATGTGGACAGAGAGGAACACCTATATACTCTTGATAGGACTATTAATTAGTAAAGCCATTATGGAAAAAAGTATGGAGGTTCCTCAAAAAACTAAAAATAGAACTACCATATGATCCAGCAAACCCACTGCTAGGTATACATCCAAAAGAAAGGAAGTCAGTATATACTGAAGAGATACCTGCACTCCTATGTTTATTGGAGAACTACCACAATGGCCAAAACATGGAATCAACCTGTGTCTGTTAACAGATGGATGGATAAAGAAAATGTGGTATATACACACAATGGACTATTATTCAGCCATTAAAAAAATGAAATCCTAGGCGGCACCTGTGGCTCAAAGGAGTAGGGCACCGGCCCCATATGCCAGAGGTGGTGGGTTCAAACCCAGCCCTGGCCAAAAACTGCAAAAAAAAGAAATCCTTCATTTCATTTGCAGCAACATGGAAGAAACTGGAGGTTATGATGTTAAGTGAAATGGGTTTTTAAAAAAATTGAGTTTCTCATCATCATCAGTTCTTGAATAACTTCCTAAACACAAAGATAAAATTTGTAAAACCAGTAGCTAAAATAGTCATGGTATCCTTCTCTTTTCTCTTACTATTGTGACAAAAATGGTTCTATTCTAGAAGGTAACTAGTCAAGAATGCTTTTTTCTATCCTCCCCTTTCAAAAAAAAAGACAAGATTCTCACTATGTTACCCACGCTGGACTTACACTCTTGGGACTCCTAGGCTCAACTGATCCACCTGCCTGAGCCTCCCAAGCAACTGGGACTACAGGCACGTGATAACATGCCCAGCTTTTAACTTCCCTTCTTTATTCATTTTTTTTTGAGACAGCATTTCACTATGTCACCCTCAGTAGAGTGCCATGGCATCACAGCTCACAGCAACCTCAAACTCTTGGGCTTAAGTGATTCTCTTGCCTCAGCCTCCCCAGTAGCTGGAACTACGGGCACCCGCCACAATGCTCAGCTTTTTTTGTTGTTGCAGTTGTCACTGTCGTGTTAGCTGGCCTGGGCTGGGTTCAAACCCGTCAGCCTGGGTGTACATGGCCGGTGTCCTAACCTTAGAGCTATGGGCACCACCCTTGACTTCCCTTCTTGATTACCTACAATGTGGTTCTCCTTAAAGGCTATTTTTTTCCACATCCTACCAAGTCTGAAGCCAGTTTCAACATTCTCTGCATTACTCTACCAGGAATATTCTCACTCTTGAAGCCTTCATGGTTCACTCTCTCTCTTCCTTCAGATCTTCACTCAATAGCACCTTCTCAGTGAGACTCTCCTAGCCAACCCATCTAATATAGTATAAACAACTATTAAATATAATATATACACTTTATTTATTTAGCATAGTTTATTAAGCATTTTCCCAAATAGAAGATAAGCTCCATAAGGGCAGGAGATTTTTATACTTTGTTTACTGCTATATTCACAAAGTCTACTGACCAAACTGTTGTATTTATCACTTTTACCTTCTTATTCTTAACTACTTCCTTGACTTAATCAAGAATTTTAGTCCTGTAACTTTCATTAGTCCTTTACAAATACTTACCAAGTATCTATTACATGCCAGACACTATTGGAAGTTCTTGGGATACATTAATTAGCAAAACAGACAAAATCTCACCTTTACAGTACTTACGTGCTAACGAGAAGAGACAAATGACGAAGTTATTCTTTTTAAAATAGAACATATACAATGTTAGAAATAAATGCTATGCCAAAACAGAGAGTAGAACACAGTAAGGGAGATCCAGAAAGCAATGTAGAGAAAGAGGTTATGCAATTTTAAATAGGTGAATTAAAACAAGTCTCATATGGAAGGTGGCACGTGAGTAGAAATTCATACAGTGATTCTCTAATCCCTGGTACCTCAAAATGTGACTGTATTTGGACACAGAGTCTTTAAAAAAGTAATTATGTTAAAATGAGGTCATTTGGGTGGGCCCTAATCCAATATAACGGACATCCTTATGAAAAGGAGGAAATTAGAACACAGACTCACAAACCACGTGAAAACACAGGGAGAAGATAGCCATCTATAAACCAAGGAGAGAGGCCTCAAAAGAAACCAATCCTGCTGACACCGTAACCTCAGATTTCTAGTCTCTACAACTGTAAGCAAATAAATTTCTATTGTTTAAGCTACTGTTATGGACTGAATTGTGTCCTCCCAAAATTCTTATGTTAAAGAACTAACTCCCAATATCTACTTGGAAATAGGTCCTTTAATATAACCTTAAGAAATAAAGGGTAACTGAGATCATAAGGGTGGGGACCAAATCCAACAGGACTGGAGGAAGAAAAGGGAGAAAAAAACAGGGATGTCCATAGACACAGAAAAGACCATCTCAGGCCAAGTAAACAGGCTTCACCAGAAACCAACCCAGACGGCATCTTGATTGTGAACTTCTAGTCTCCGGAACCATGAGAAAATAAATCTCTCTTGTGCCACTCAGTCTGTGGTACTCTGTTATGGCAACTCTAGAAAACGAACACATTTGCCAATCTAGTAATTTTAAAAGCATTTCTGCTCTTCAATGTCAGAGATGACAAAGCATTTAAGCATCCTCACTAAAATAGTAAAACCATGGCCTAGCTGATAGAAGCTTTCTATAACATCTTTCTTACCTGCTTGAAGAACGCTGCAGGTGCCATTTCAGATCCATTCAGTGTTCGTAAAAGAAACATTGGCCAAGATGATGCATTCATCTGGAACCCTATTTTATAAAATAAATTAGATACCATGAAAAAGCTTCCCTATAAAAAAAGAGGTTTTATTCACCATTTTTCTCTAGAGAACGACTTTTACTTTTTTTTTAGACAGTCTCATTTTGTTGCCCTCAGTAGATTGCTGTGGCTTCACAGCTCACAGCAACCTCCACCTCTTGGGCTTAAGCGATTCTCTTGCCTCAGCCTCCCAAGTAGCCAGGAATACAGGCACTCGCCACAATGCCCGGCTATTTTCTTGTTGCAGTTGTCATTGTTGTTTAGCTGGCCCAGGCCAGGCTCGAACTCACCCGTCTCGGTGCATGTGGCTGGCACCGTAACCACTGTGCTACAGGTGCCCAGCCAAATAAATAAATCTTTTAAAAAGGAAAAATAAAAAGTTGTATTATATTAAAATGGAAATTAAGCTATTTAAAAGCACCTAAAAAGCAAACTGGTGCCAGTTGTGTATTTTTACATATAGGGTGAACATAAAGTTCATGTGCAACTTAAATAGTAAACTAATTTAAATTGCACACAAACTTTATGTCCACCCTGTATATTGCCAAAATAGATACTAATCACCATGTACTGCTATGTATTTCCTATTTTTTAACTAAAACAAACTCTAAAAAGTTTAAAAAGAATCATAAATCTAGTTATGTATTTGAATGCTGACAATCACAATAGCTGGATTTTCTTTAAACAAAGTGCAAAATCATATAATCATACTGCAGAGAAATAAAATACAAACAGGGAGACACTAAGCCTCAGGTTTGCACTTATATCTCATACAAAATTCTTTAGAATTTAAGGAACAGTATGAACAAGGCAAAAATGTACACGATATGAAGAAAAGAAGGCAAAAAGCAAATAAAAACCAATATCCACCATTCACACAAAAGGTAGAATAGTGATCAAGCAAATTAAATCATTTTCTCCTACAGCGTATCATGGTACATTTAAATTTTATAAAGAAAAGTTTTGCCCTAATTTAGAGTCACACCCTTTTTACCTTTTAAACTTGGCCAAAATTAAGTGTTACATATTTTGTACTCTAAAACCTATGCTAGAAGTTCCATCTTCTTCTCTGCAGAGACCTAAAGGCACTGACTCCTACCCACTCACTCCAGTTCTTCACTGTAGGGAGGATGAAACTCCCAGGTTTGAAACTGGAACCTGAATGTGGAATCATACCCTTCCCCTATGCTCACCCAAACTGCTGAATGGCTTAGTGGACAGTAGCAAGAGAGAACGTGATTTATATCAAATGCTACAGACTTCTTCCCCCAGCAGGATTTCTGAATCTATGTACGTGATCTAGCAGAGATGCTTCTGCCATTACAAGTTTGAAGACTTAGCATGAGTTGTTGCCCTGGTTGGGGAACTTTCAGCATACATAATGCAAAACTCCACAACAGATGGTACTGAGTTCCTCACTCATCATACATTCTCCACACTAACCATCTGACCACCTATTTGCAAGAATGCCTAAGAAAAGAGATTTTTAAAGGCCATTTAAAATTGTTTCTATTGAATATCGCTTTAATAAGAGTATGTTATTTTAAAAACTGTTTCTATTCTTACCCAGTGGAGGTTGAAGTAAGTCTCCTTCCTTTTCACATGTCCCAACAGGCTGTATATCCGGGGAATCAACAAGTCTCCAAAAATCATTTCTGTTGTCACTACCATCCAGCCGTAAACGCAGTCTGGCCCCAGTAATTCCAATAACTGTAGCAATACATACTGAAGTCATATTGCGAGGATCATGTGCTTCCAATTTCATGCCGACTTTGAAGTCATTAGTTGGTGGAATCTTAGACTATATATAAAGAAAATTTTGTTAAAATGCAGCAACTGTGGGAGAAAAACACATGGTCAGTTATATTACCAGGATACCTGAGGAACATTTTAAGTAACAGTCATAGCAGATGACAAGTTGAGGTCAGAGCTATAAGGATCAAGGAAAAGATCTCCAAATTCTCTCCTTGGTTTGACAATGCAACATAAATATACTGCCCACTGCTGGTCTCATTCATCTGTCCACTTCCAGGCAACTCAAATACAGGTTCTAAAATGTATCCTGAGTGGCCTTCTAAAGGAAAAACATGATTATGCCATTCCCCTTGTCAACCAGCAGCTCACCACTGCCTATGATATAGTCCAACCAACACAGTTGAAAAGCCCCCACACCTTTAATATCATTTCCACATACTGCCCCTGGCCACCTCATGCCCTCCCTCAACAATGGGATTCTTTTACACCCATGTGCCTTGGCTTTGGATGTTCTCTCTGCCTTGAATGTAATTCCAACCATCTTATATAGTACCTTTTCTACAAGCCCTCCCAGTATACAGTTGTCATGCTTTTCATATTTATTTCTTTACATGCCTGTCTTTCCCTCAGATGGGCAATCATAAAGGCTTAGAGTACCTGACACAGAGTAAGTTCTTAATGAATGAACACAAAGAGGCCATCTAGCTCCTCAGTGGCATGACACAATCCCACTATCTCTCCTACACTCAAGAACCTAACAATCATCCACTCCAAGTTAATAGTTTAAATTAATATACACAACATCACAGAATTTTACTATACCTGTCTGAAGTACTCTGAAGGAGCACTTATAGATCCTGTCTCTTCCAAGTACTTGTCCCATTGAAAAGAATCTAGAAAAAGCACATGTTCAAAATAGGGGTTTTAAGTATATACAATGAATATACTACCTTTCAAGAAGAAAATGGGTTTTAATTCTATACCTCTTAAAAAAAAATACTTCCTAAAGAGCAGATTCGAACTTCCAATGTACATTTGATTATCAGCATGAAAATAAAAAACAAGGCTCGGCGCCTGTGGCTCAACCGGCTAAGGCGCCAGCCACGTACACCTAAGGTGGCGGGTTCGAATCCCCAGCCCGGGCCCGCCAAACAACAATGGCTGCAACCAAAAAATGGCCAGGCGTTGTGGCGGGCGCCTGTAGTCCCAGCTACTTGGGAGGCTGAGGCAGGAGACTCGCTTGAGCCCAGGAGTTGGAGGTTGCTGTGAGCGTGATGCCACGGCACTCTACCCAGGGGGATAGCTTGAGGCTCTGTCTCAAAAAAAAAAAAAAAAAAAGAAAGAAAATAAAAAACAAGACAATTTCCTGAGAATAATGGTCCTGATATAAATTACAACCTGGATCTTCTCAGTGTAATGAGGATTACAGTTTAGTGATTCTAAAAATATGGATGCTAGAAATACTTAAAGGAATTTTTATAGAGTCATAGAGTCTATCTGTCTGTCTCTAATATAAATTTACTCAAGAAATGTGCTTTCATAATTTCATCCCATTGATATGAAAATGCTTCCCTGTAATTTATGGGGGGCTAAAGGCATTTAAGGTGCATGATCTAATAGCATTTCACTCCTGCGATGCTTTATGGAAATAACAGTATCTGAGAACCAGAGTGGTTTCTCAATAGACTATTACATCTCCATTCAGAGTGTCAAGAGGACAGTAGCAGAACAAAGCCATTAACTAATCATCAGTACAGTCATTGATATGGATTGTTTTAGTGATCCACATGTTCTACAAACTCTCGTCCTTTCTCACTTCATCTTCATGATATATCTTATAATGCTAGAGAAGATCAGAAAACAGAGTACATTGCCTGGCTTCAACACGGAATTCACTCTGCCAGCCAAACTGTGAAGACACTGAAAAAAAGACTTGTCAGTAGTGCTGAAGGTACTATTAATTCATATGAAGTTTATTCTCATCAACCATGAGGTTTTTCTATACATTTGTTAAGTTTCCTCCCTATAAAAACATTGGGGTTGACAGTTCTCCCTTCCTGGAGAAATCTACATTTCCAGCTTTTTATATGCTACATGTAACCTCCCCAAAAGAAAAAAAAACTAGAGTGCTAATATAAATGTTTAACAACAAGCTCTCTGGAAAATACAACAAAAAATCTGAATGGCAGCATTTACAAATTTCCGTAATGTAACTACTATGGTCATTGCTAACTGCAGGGTAAAGCCACCAACCATGAAGATGGGAAGAGATGTGCACAACTGGCTGTCCTAAACATATGCAAACCAGCTTCAGTGTACTACCATTCATGACTGCATGTATTTATATGTGTACGTATACATATGGTATTGAGCATGTCTTAGGTAACATTTTGTACCTCACTTTTTTCCACAATAAATATAAGAAATTGTTTCATTAAAGAAAATACTAGATTTGATTCCGCTTCCAGATGATGTGAAGCAAACAGTACACACAGTGTTAAAAGTCAAGTATAGGAGCATCAAGAATGAGGGGATTGGAGCCAGAACTGCCTAGTTTTAGTATGGCTCTACTTCTTATTACCTATGTGACCCTAAGCAAGTCATGTCACTTTTCAGCCTCAGTTCCTTCATCTATGTACAAAATGGGAAAAGTAATACATATGGTACTAGATATTTTGAGAATTAAGTGAAGTAGAATATATGTAAATCACTCCATAAATGGCATACTATAAAACTAAATGTCAGGCTTGGCACCAATAGCTCAGTGGTTAGGGTGCCAGCCACACATACCAGGGATAGCAGGTTCAAGCTGGGTTTAAGCCCTGCCCAGGTCTGCTAAACCACTATGATAACTGCTACCAAAAAATAACCAGAAGGAAGGCAGCCCCTGTGGTTCAAAGGACTAGGGTGCCGGCGCCATATACCAGAGGTGGAGGGTTCAAATCTAACCCTAGCCAAAAACTGCAAAAAAAAAAAAAAATACCGGACTTATGGCAGGCACCTGTAGCCCCAGCTACTCAAGAGGCTGAGGCAAAAGAATCACTTAAGCCCAAGAGTACTGAGGGCAACACAGTGAGACTCTGATTCAAAAACAACAACAACAAAAAACCTAAATGTCATAGTTTTACCTAAATTTATGAATCCTAGATAGCTCTGTCAAAAGTAAAAACTGAGATCCATGGCTCCAAAATTAAAGTGAACAGATATTTCAGTGTCCTCCTAGCACTAACCTCACAATCAGGAGACCCAAGGTTCTAAAAGAAGCTCTACAACCATAAGATCACGGAGAGCATTAAAAATAAAAAAACCAGAACCAAAAAAAATTTTTTTAAGTAAAAAGAACAAAAAAAACCAAAACATGAATGGGAAAAAAACTGACTGATATGGATTATTTTACACAAAACCATTTTACATTTATATCCCAGTGACATTTGTAAAATTTTTCAATGACACTGAAAATATTTAATCATCTCCCTAACACGAACTTTTAAAAAAATATTGTACCACCATCTCTACCTGAATGGGCTATAATTTGAGTTAACAAATCCTTATTGCTAGTGCTCTGTAATATGATCATTTTCTATCAGATTGCTAGCTAATGACGGTTAGCTTTAATTTTTTTCTTTTTTCATAAGGCAAAAATTTTAGTCTACCTTGATTAAAACTGTCCATCTTAGCTGCCCATATGCTGAGATCCTACCAATATTATAGGGAAAACACACACAGTTCCAGGCTTTACTAGTTTAGATTTGAAACATCTACATCAATACCATACCTGGAATTCCCCACCAGAAATCAATATAATCAGAAAGTCTTAGCTAAGCCTAAGGAGGTCCCAGTCTTCCTCTGCATTATATCATTACTGACATATTGGGAGGGGTATATTCTCTCTCAGAAAGGGCCCACGTGTACATAACCTAACCTTGTGATCTGATGGTTATTCCCATGTGCCCACGGTCCCTGTTCTTATTTGACTTGCACTCTATTCTAGTCCATATATTAGCTCCAACACCTGTTAGCACTAAATACAATCTATATGAGTCCCCCTGGTCTTCTCCAAAGTAAATCAGAACTATAATGTCTTCTACTAGTGTTAGACTTGGGTTTATAAGCTATGTGACAAAGATGGGCAAAATATATGAAGCTTCTCAGCTGAACAATATCTACTACTTCACAGTGTCTATCACAGCTATAACTAGGCATTAGTTTAATATCTATCTTGCCAATTGAGCTCAAAAAGGGCAAGGATCATGTCTGTCATGTTCATGACTTGATTCCTATTAGGAGTAGATCAGGTGCAGGGGATATACCAGTTAATTAAAGAGATTTTAAAAAATCCTCTTGGAGCTTCTCTGATTTCTAAGATGAGATGTTAGGGTCTGGGTCCTGAGAAACATCTGCAGATGGCTGCCAATTTGATTATATAATCTCATTTTTTAATCAAAAGTTTTGAGAACTTTGAAGTTACTAGTTGTTACCTTTAAGAGAAAAATATATATATGATATATATTATTATTAACTGGGTAAACTATGATATGTGAATTATATCTCAATAAAGCTTTTATAATTAAAAGATTCTAGTGGCCTCTAATTGCTTGGAGGGTTTGGGGGGTTAGAAGGAAGAGCTGAAGAATAAATAAGGCCAATGGGAAAGGGAGCTAAGGGAGCACTTAGGGGCCAGCTACAGTGAGAGGCAACAATTCCATGGGATAATCTTTAAGCGGTGCATGGGGTGAACTGTTCCAGGTTTGGAACTGGCAGAGAAGGTACAACAGAAAGACAAGGAACAAAAAAACTCTGGAAATCACTGGTAAAACAATAGTTTGCTATGGTATTTTTGTCATGCCTTTTGTGTACATATGACTTTTCTCATTTTCCTTAAAAGTAGGCCTACGTGTCAGTCTATCTCCCAAGTGTCTCTGATGCAGATTATATACATGCTATTCACAATAAAGAACTTAAATATGAATTAATAATTCAGGGTTAATAAACTTAACATTCACTATACACCTAGGTGTTATATTAGGTGCTTTACATTTTCTTTAATTCCAAAAGCACCATGAGGTAAGTACTATTACTGTCCCTGTGCTACAGAGAAGGAAAAAAAGAGTCTAAGAGACATTAAATAATTTTCCCAAGATTATACAGCCAGTAAGGAGTGAGGCCAGGATTCTAGAACAGGTCTGTCAGAACCCCCAATGTCTAAGCTTGTTACCACTGAACTGTCTTTTGATCATGAAAAAAGAAATTTCATATTGACTCTAATGTTAAAAGAAGAGTTTTTAATAATAATGAAATTAATTTAAATTGTTAATACATGGTAACTAATAACCAGAGACCTATAATTTGGCAAAATTTGTACTGAAATCCACAAAGTGATCTTCTTACTTAAGTCATACCAATTTATCACTACATAAAAGCAAAGTAAAACTTCCAAAACAAAATACAATTTCTTGACCTTTCTTATTGCTTAGATTTTACATGTGTAAGATTTTACTGTATGTGGACTATACCAAAAAACAATAAAAGAGTTCATTTTAACACTCAGTGAGAAAGAAAACTATGTTGTATTAAACTACTTTAAAACCTACCATCTTGCACAGATGTGCTTGACTGAGAAATTTTCTCTGGATCCTCCTTTTTGACATCCATTGGATCTAATAAAAAAGAAAAGCATCAGCTATACCGGAAGGCCACAGAAATAATGTGAAAGAGCATTTTGAAAAACTATAAACTAAAACTATTTTTAATAGGAGCCAGTTTTAATTTTATGATTAACATCTTCATTTTCTATATAAGGCTTAGTTTCTAATATAGGGTATAGTTTCTAATGTACTTTATAATTTACTCATTTATCATACGTCTCATTCTACTTAAATGAAATCTCCAAAAGGGGAGGAATTTATTTTATTCTGTCTGCCTTATTTACTGCTGTATCTTCAAGTACCCAGAATAGCACCTGGCATGCAGAACACCCTCAAGCATTTTTTAAATAAATATACCAATAAACCAAAGTGAGCTGATCCTTATGTTTAAATTAACATGTCCAAGAAATAAAATCGATGCTTTTTAGAGTTTCAAACATAATAGGGAAGCTAAAATACAATGTAATTCAATGGGCCAGGCAGAGTTTTTTCTCAGTGCTAAGCTAAAGAGCTCAAATAATGCTGGACCTTGTGACCTCATCAAATCTAAATCCACATATATCACTGTATGTATCTCTAAAAGGACTGCTTTTTTTTTTTGCCCTCGGTAGAGTGCTGTGGCATCACAGCTCACAGCAACCTCCAACTCCTGGGCTTAGGCAATTCTCCTGCCTCAGCCTCCTGAGTAGCTGGGACTATAGGCGCCCACCACAACACCCAGCTATTTTTTTTGTTGCAGTTTGGCCCGGGCCATGGTTGAACCCACCACCCTCAGTATATGAGGCCAGTGCCCTACTCACTGAGCCACAGGCACTACCCACCAAAATCATTTTCTATATAATTTCTGCGTATTATACTTTGCTGCTTAAAAAAAAATTAGCAGTTTCGACATAAAAACATACTTAGGGTAGAGGTTTTCTTAATTAAGAACAAATAAAAATGTATTAGTTAGTTGGAAGAAATTTAGTACTCACCTAAATAATTCGCCTCTGGGCTTCCTAGCACCTAAAGCAAAAAGAAAAACATTTATTTAAGTCTCATTACAATATAAAAGTATATACAAATTCAACAGAAAAGTCAAACTTTTTTCTAGGACTGAATACTAGGAAGAATTTGTAAAAACCCTACGTAAAGGAATATTGGTTAATTTAATAGAAACTATCTTTAAAGATAAGGTTAAGTTTTACCTTGAGTCTCTAATTAGAAACCACTGCCTGAAGAGTCAATAAGGGTACAACAGTTTGACAAGAATAGGAACTAAACAAGTCCAATAGTAAGAAATTTCCCAGGGCCATTTCCAACTTTAAGCCACTGGTCAGATGTTATAAAATGATGCAACGCCCCTGTTCAGATGATGTCTACATTAGGAAAACCAATTTTCACTCACAAAAAGGGAAAAGATAGTAATTGCTCACAAAATAATCTATTGCAAAAATAGGTCATCACATCCCCTTGAATAACATCAAACGTACAGAAGTTTCAAGGTTCATGAATATGTTTGCTGGTGTTACTAAGAAAATGTTGGAATAAGTGATGAAAGTTATATTCACAATAGACCAGAGATCAATGAAATAGCACAAACATAAAAGTTTTTTCTTCCTTTTTTAATCCTTGTTATAGACATGGTTTTAAGACTTGAACAAACAAAAAAGCCCTTTATTGTCCAGTATATTATAGGGAGAGTCTGAGTTAACTGCTTAAAACACCTTTAAATTTTTCATTTTGCCTTGATAATAATTTCTTATTTTATTTCAAGAAACACTTCACACTATGTATAAATGCAAAGCATTGATTTAATTAAAATATATTGTAGTTACTGTCTTTCTTTGACAAAGAGAAGCTCTCTTTTAACTAAGATTTTGCTTCCGGTAATAGCAGCTATCCTTTTCTGACATATCTTTAAGACTAATCAAAAAAAAAAAAAAAACTAAACTCTAATGTTGTAACTACATTTAAAACTAACATTCCATGTCTAAGTTATGACTAATAAATATTAAGAACAATTTTATCTCCACATTTCTGGGATTTATTTTTAAAAAGAACATTTTTGTTAGCAAGGATTTATCAAATCAAGTCTTCTCAGGGAAACTAAGGTTTCCAGAAGAGCAATTTTAATTATGCTTTAGTAATAACCTAACCCAACAAATTAGAAACGAATCTTTCTGTGTCAAAACAAAGCCAAGAAGATGACTTAACTATTCTCAAGAATTTTTAAGTTATAAAAAACATCACAGCCTACAAGTTAGAAGAATTAATCTCTTATAATTTTAATTATGTGAAAGCTATGTATTTAGCTAAAAAGTATGCTAGTCAGAAAACAGATAAATGAAAGACAAGTCAAGGGTTGCCAAAATCCCAGTTTATAGTTGTAAATTCCTAGGGTTTTAAACCACAGCCACAGGCTAATTGCCCAAAGACCTGCTGCCCACTGACATTTGTAGAGGACTGAAGTTAATGGCAGGGCATGTCAATTTACTAGAGGCAGCTCATGGTGAGACATTTTGACAAAAGAACTGGATCAGGTTACAGCCTGTTCCTATTATCACTACAGTCTAGATTTATGGTTTCTAACACTGGCCCTACAAGAAGTAATGGAAATGATGACAACAATCCCCACTAGACAACAGACTGCAGAGAAGCATGCAATAAACCACAATCTGAAGTGACCAGAAAACTAAACATCCCTGACAATACTTCAAACGTGAAGCAGGTGTCAGCAAATTAGCCATTTAAATATTTCTACAACTTCTCAAAATTTCAAAACAGAAAACTTAAATCAGTTTCTAACGTAATCTAAAACCAAGTGATATATTAAATATACTTATCATTATTGAATATTATATCTTAATTTTAATGACCAAACATGCTGGCATTTCATTTAAACAGATTTATGAAACTCTACCTTAGTTAAAAATTAAATAATACTGATTATATTACTTTTAAAATAACATAAAAGTGTATCAAAAATGCTCCAAATACAATAATACTTTTGGAAATCTTTCAAAAGAAAAAAAAAGACAAGTTTCATAGCAAAGGGCACATGTAAACACATTTGAATCAGTGTTTAATTTAAAAAGTAAGTATACATTCAAATCATAAACCAGTTAAAACCAATGAAAGGTGGGAAAAGTGACCAAATGTTAACCAAAAAAAATGACTTTATCAATATGTATGCTTAAAAAACTATGTCAAGGCTACAAGGCACATACCAAATAAATTCAGCAATTGTTAATCCTTATGAGAAACGGGGGTTAAGAAAAATTGAGCGTGTAGTCTAAAGAGGAGCAAAGACAGACTCACCAACTTTTCCCAGAGAAAAGAGAGCATCCTCAAGGTATGCCCTAGAATTGCAATACATCTGTCCCTTCTGAAGTTTACAATGGCACATTACCACAAAAGGTGGGCACTCTCTTTCCGCTCTTTCAACAATTTGCTCCTATAAACTTAGGAAGGGGCAGAGCCATAGCCATAAACACAGGTCACAAGTAGTAGGTAGTCAAATGCTACCTCCAAATGTTTCCCAGGTCTTTATTCACACAGACTCAACAAGCCTATTCTTTTTTTTTAACTCTTTCTACAATTCATCTAGCTTATGTCAGATGATCAGTAAATTAAGAACATGACTATCATACAAACTACTATAGGAGCTTCGAAAGCTTTTACTTTTCACACATATCATCCATTTCTTAGGTTAAATCTTTTCCATCTCATGCATGAAAAAGTGAAATTAAGAGAAATGTTTATGGATGTATGTTTACCATAAATCTCTTAGCATGAAAACCCCAGTATTATTATTTCTAAGGTTGCCAAGGTTTACTTCCATTGGACAATATAAAGACAAAATAAGCAAAAATGCCTTTAAAAAAACCAAAGAACATATGCACATTTCAAAGCTTAGATGGTTTCTGAAATTTTCTTAAATTATCCCACTTTAAGAACCACCACTTCTGCTGTCTTTCATAAATGAGATGTTATCACAACAGACAGTAAAGTCATTTCTATGCTTAGAGTAACCAAAGCCAAAAAGACTGGAAAACTTACCACTAAATTACACTAGTATTTACATAATGGTATAAATTAATCATATTTTTTTCTTCTAAGATAAGTAGCAGTGGTTTCTTTCATCTATTTCCCTAAGATAAAGGGATCATGATTATTAAACCCAAAGCCAGAGATGGATAAAAATTCTTTCTTTCAAAATCACTGATATTTGTCATTTTTAAAATTTCCAGGTTTTTGACTCTGAGTATCAGCAATCACTTCAAATTCTCTAAAATATTATGTAGTAATTCTCAAGACATAAATAATACCTTATTTGCTTGATTTGCCCACTCCAAACCTCAAAACATCTTCTGGCAATGCCAAACCAATCTTCACCTCACAGCTCTAAAGCTGACACAGCTCACTTTGTTCTTATCTTATATATCCTGAAAACCAGGAATATGACTATTAGAAGACAGTGAGACTCCCCCAGGGAGGGAAGCTAATGGAGAAGATGACCTCAGATTTCCATTCACAACGAATGAGAATAGAGCTGAAATAAAGGGGAGGGGTGAATGGCAGAGTAACCTGGCCAAAAAAAAAAAAAAAAAGACTAGAGGTGACTAATAACTCAAATAGCAGAGGATCCTTTGCATCCACCAGTATTCCACTTACTGAAGTTACAATAGTCATTTCTACTAACCCAAAGGAACAGTATAATAATTAAGTGAAAATTTCCTCTTCCATCCCTAAGAGACTGAACTAAAATTGGGATTTCTATCTCCCCTAAATGGAACAAGGGGCTATATCATTTTCATTAAAAAGACTTTGTATTTAGCCCTTTCAAAGCACTTTACTATCATCAATTATTTCTCAATGAGACAGTGAAGGATTACCCTGACCATTTTACTGATGCGGAAACAGACACCAACAGCAAAGGGAACAGGGGCAGGAAGAGGGGTGATAGGAAGCATCTGGGAGGAACAGGCAGGCAGCTAAAAAGGAACAAGCCCAAAAGAAAATGAG